GCCCTAGTCCTCACCTTCATATATATCCCTCCACCACCTTGGCCCATCCTTTCTCTGTGAATCGATGACCTCCTGTGACCATACTCACACGGGCTTTCCTGTCTCCTTCCACTATGACCTGCTTTATGTTTCTCCCCTCTCTCACATCCCCACATCCAACACATCCCACCATTGTATTGTATTGGCAGGTAGACTTTCAGTCACTTTGCTGCCTCCCTCTGGAACCTTCTCCCAAAATCGTATCGACTCTCCCTGCTTTCATAACCTAAAAGCTTATTTCTAGTCCCCACCTGTGCCTGTTCAGGTGAGCATTAAGATCCCATCGCATTACTTGAAAAGAGAAGGCAGTTTCTCTCTCCCAACGTCCTGGCCAACAATCCCCCCGATAAAATTGGTCACTCACTTCCTGGCAGTTTGTGGGTCATTGCCGTGTGTTAATTGCCTGCTGCATTCTCCTGCAAAACACACAGTCATTCTACTTTACAGCAAATCCTGTGAAGTGTTTTGAGATGTCTTCCTGACATGAAGGACTCAGTGTCAAATGTAAATATTATTGTTATTGTAATTGCAAGCCTCTGTTATGATCTTGTGTAATATTTGCTCATGGGGGAGGGGGAAGGAAATACACGCTGAACCTATGTGAGTTTGGGCGATATCACAGACATGACACAGACATGGCACAGGGTGTGACAAAGTTAACCACTCACATCCCTATACTCCTCTGAGCTGCACACCTTCTTTGATCGTGCTTCCGGCCACCCTCCCGCAGCCACTGACCCAGCACAGACGCTGTATAAATGCCAATTTTTCATTGTTGTTGTTGTAGTCAATGCTTTCTCAGAGGATATTAAGAATAATTCTTGCATTTGATAAAGTACCTTATCATGTCATTGAGATATCTCAAAGTGCTTCACAGAATATATTGTAGATATATATTCTAGATTGATTGTGTAATTGTGGGCAAAACGCGGCAGCCAATTGTGCACAAACAGTCGTGGATTACGTGACTAATTTTTTTTTGGAAAGTCATCCACCAACAACTGGATTCCTACTTACTGCTAGGCAAACATATGTGTGGAGTAAGGAAACTTGCCTAAGGTTTTGCCCTGCCTGGGAATCGAACTTGGGTCCTCTCGCTTCCAAGGCAAGCACTTTAAGCCCTACACTAAAGTGTGTTTTTTTTGTTCAGCTGGGTGACTGACACATGAGGAAACCCATCACCATTTTTAAGAGTATCCAAACTAAGCTGACAATTCCATGTATCCCACCTACACATGGAAATTCCAGAGATAGATTGTTGGAACAAAATGCACACTCTCTCCCTGGAGAGACGCATTCTGTTTACCTAATTCCAGAGAGTATTAGGTGCAGATTGGCAAGAGCCAAGGCTTGGGGTCCCCAGAGTCTGTGTTGGGGTAACTGCTGGAGTCTAACCAGCTAAAACCACGTAGCTTGCCATTGATATTGCTGTCTGGTAAGCTTTCCTGGTACTTTTCCATCTAGGACCACCCTAGCTGTTAGGGCTTTGGCTTGCAGGGTTAACAGGAGCTGAGTGGGATGACTCTCTGCCCCCAGTGACAGGTCTGGCCTTCCAGGTCCTGCCGATGAGCCAGGCCGGGCTGTGCTGTCATCAGCAGTGCTCTGGAACAGTGCACACCCGTCTGGCTCATGAACTGGACTAGAGACCATCACAGAGGGTTGACTCAATTCCGACATTCCATTGCCAGCATGTCACCTTGGAGCCAATTCAGCTTATCTCCCCCCAATGAGGATACTCCTGGCCTCAACTACCATTCCTGGCAATTTGTTACAATTTTTAATTTATCCTAAAATTCTGGATTTACTTTTTCAATCGTGTTTAATCCCATTGTTATACACCATTATAAGTTCGCCTCTGAGATGTTGTCTTTCAAGACGGTAAGAGCATCACCTCAGTTTTAGTAGATCAGTTTTGACAGAAGTTTTATCAACATTAAGCTGTGTCTGATTGATGAGAGGAGGAGGGGGAGGGCTGGGGGGAATTACTGCTGGTGTCTAGATTTCAGGGGAATGTTAAAGATCCTATGGCACTAATCGAAAAGAGAAAGGAGTTTCTATACAAATGTAAATTTGTTGTTGTTGTTTCTCCCCTTGCCTTGGCCAACAACCCCCCAAATAAAATTGGTCACTTACTCCATGGTTGTTTGTGGATCACTGCTGTGTGCAACTGACTGATGTGTTTCGCCCACAAAATACACAGTGATTCCACTTTACGGTATATCGTATGAAGCGCTTTAAGACATATCAATGATGTGATGAGGTGCTATATCAATTGCAAAGATTATAATATTATTAATCCTGTGAAGCGCTTTGAGACGTCTTCCCGACATGAAAGGCACTATACCAAATGTAAGATTTATTATTATTATTAAAAGCCATACTCTCATTTTCAAAACCTTCAATTGTGGTAACATGTTAGGATGTACCAATAACAATCTTTGAACCTCCTTTAGTTTTGTGAGCGGTTACCTATTTATCAGCCAGCGAGAATAATCTCTGGCTGTTTATCCTCTCAAAACCTTTCAGAATTTTGAAAAACTCAATTAGTGTCCCTTGACCTTCCCTTTTCCAGCCAACGCAACCCGAAAAAAATTGTTTTGTTGCGTTTTAATGAAATGCAAATATTTGACCAGGAAGTTTGAATGAGAAGCAACTTATTAAATATTCCTCAACCAAAACCTACATCGAAACTGAGGGATAGCTGCTTTGTTTCTAATATAGGACAGGAGACAGGGTGGTACAGAGGGTTGGAGTGAAGGGGAGAGAGAAAGAGGGAGGGGGGAGAATGAGGGAGGGGGGAAGTGAGGGAGAGACAAGGAGGAAGGAGGGAGGGAGAGAGGGAGACAGGGAAGGAGGGCGGTGAAAAGAAAATGAGAAGGGGAGAAAGAGGAAAGGGAAGGAGAGACTAAAGGAAAGGAGAGCAAGAAAGACATCGTGAGGAGAAGCTTCCTCTACGAGATCATTCATGGTCTTTTAAAGGAGCAGCTTCAAAGGTACTCTCTAGAGCAGTGCTGATGCACCTTTTTGGTTGGCCGACAAAATACATTTTCTTGATTGGATATTTCTCGATTTATGCCATCAATCAAGAAATATTCAATCAGGAAAAAATGGAAACAAAACATCGATTTAAAATAGACTCAATGTTGAATAAAATTGGTCGTTATCTGCATGGCTGCTTGTGAGACATTGCTGTGAGAGCTCTGAGACGCTACACTGCGTGGAGGGCATTATATAAGTGCAAGTTGTTGTTGCTGAGCACAAACTGACTGCCGCGTTTCGCCCACAAAATACACAGTTTTTCAGCAGCAGTGTTTCAGGGTTGGAAACAATTCTGAACAGGTTCAACAAGGTGAACGTAAATGGACCTTTTCCACTTTTTGGTGAATCCAATAACAAGGGCGAAATAGACATAAGGTCGCCAGGAGATCTAAATAAGAGTTTAGGAGGGACTTTAGGTAGAGGCTGGTGAGATTGTGGAATTCACTGCTGGGTTGAAGCAGAAAGCGTTAATACTTTTAAGAGGAAACTTGATGTGTCCAAGGGAGAAGAGAGTAGAGAGGTATGGAGGGAGGCCAGAAGGTGGGATGAAGAGAGGTGGAGGGTAAACACCTCTACGGACTAGTGGGGTTGAATGGCTTATTTCCGTGCTGTAAATTTCTGTGTAATTCTGTGTAGTGGAGGAGAAGAGAGGGGATTTTTCTCTTGTGGTTCTGTGTGGATGAATCATTGATATGAGCTCTGACCTTTGTTTGCTAATTTTGGTGAATGTATCACTGTGCACTTGTGTGAATAATTAATGCCATTTTAAAACCAATTAAAACCACATCATGAACAGGAATGTGTTTCCCCAGAGAGGAGGAGGGTCAGGAGGTGGCGCGATTGAGGTGGTTAAAATGTTTGGCATGGAGTGACTCCTCGCTGATAGGTGAACGCAGACCGAGGGAAACAGTCTCAGAACCAGAGACAAACCCACTCAGAAAGCAAAAACTAATATTAAATCAGCACCTTACCAAGACGTCTCAAAGCACTTCATATGATATACTGTAAAGTGGTGTGACTGTGTATACTTTGTAGGTGAGCACAACAGCCAGTTTGCACACAGCAGTGTCCACAAACATAATAATCCTTGCATTTGATGTAGCGCTTTTCACGTCTTCTAGACGTCTCAAAGCGCTTCACAGAATATACTGTAAAGTGAATTGACTGTATATTTGTGGGTGAAACACAGCAGCCAATTGTACACAGCAGTGTCCCACAAACAGTCGTGGATTGAAAATGACCAATTTATTATTGTTTTGTTTTTTGGAGGGATTATTATTAGGAGTGTGGAATAAGGAAACTTGCCCAAGAGTTCGCCCTCTGCCTGGAATTGAACCCAGGTGTCTCGCTTGCAAGGCGAGTGCTTTAACCACTGAGCTACAGGACTCCACGACAGCCATGAACGAGTGACTAATTTTATTTGAGGGATTGTTGGCCAGGACATTGCGATATGAAATTGGTCGCTCACTCCATGGTTGTTTGTGGGACATTGCTGTGAGCAAATTGGGGGCCGCATTCGACCACAAAATACACAGTCAATTTACTTTATAGTAAATCTTGTGAAGTACTTTGAGATACCTTGGTGACGTGATTAGCACTATACCAAATGCAAGAATTATTATTACAATACAATATAAAATTACATTTGTATAGCGCCTTTCATGTCGGGAGGGGTGGGAAGGATAGGAGAGTGGCCGAAGGCTCGGTCGAAGAGGAGGGACTCCTCCTTGAGACATGCCTTGAAGGTGGCAAGGGAGGGAGTGAGATGAAGGGAATGGGGTGGAGCTCCAGAGGGTGGGGGCAGAGAGCCTGAAGGCCCGACCGCTGATGGAGGGTCAGACCCGCCGGGGGACATGGAGCAAGCCGGATTATTATGGATTACAGGGAGTCTAGTCAATGACCTTTTCTCTCTTGCCTTCCAGGGCCGCTGACCGATGCTGTCCCTCTCTCTCTGAGACATCAGCATGGCCAAACTTCAGATGCTTTCCTCCAGCACTGAGCCTGGTTACCACGGCCGAGACTCTTACTCCTCGTTTGCCCCCAGACCTTCGGAGGCTGGCTTCCCCCGGTGCACAATGGGCAGTGTGGGCAGTGGAGTGGCCAACGAGCAGGAGTTCGCTATGAAGAGCGTCAACGCCAACCACAGGGCAGTGCATGCTCCCATCGGTGGGCGGCAGCAAAGCAGCCTGGGGAATGGGTACGCTTCCTGGGAGCTCAGCAACGAAAAGTGCTTCAAGCCCGGTAAGGTCTCCAACGCCCTGTACATCAATGGGGACCTCCGCAAGGGGGAGCGAATGAAGACCGACGTGACCAACAACAACGAGAAGAACCTTCCTCCTCAGTACAAGGAGCCCAGCAACCCGCCCAAGATCCTGCCTGTGTCCGGCAAACTGGAGCAGGTAAATATACACAACAATAGCAACCCTCGCATTTGATACAACACCTTGTTACACATTCCCTGCCACTGTTCAAAAAAGGGCATTTCTCTCCCCGTTGGCCTGACCAACAATCCCTGAAATAAAACTGGACCAAGCATTCCGAGACGCTAGCCTGTGTGAAGGGTGATATATAAATGCAAGTTATTGTTGTTTCGCCCACAAAATATACAGTCAATTCACTTTACAGTATATTCTGTGAAGGGCTTTGAGACGTCTCGAAGACATGATAAGGCGCTATATCAAATGCAAGGATTATTATTAGTATTTTGTTGTTGTCGTCGTTGTTGGTGGTAGTCACTTGTTTCATGGCTGTTTGCGGAACATTGCCTTGCACGATTGGGCTGCTGAGTTCATCTACAAATACATAGTCACTCCACTTCACGGTAAATTCTGTGAAGTGCCTTGAGCCTTCCTCCTGATGTGAAAAGCGCAATACCAAATGCAAGAATGTCCCAAGGCGCTGGACAGTCAAGGATTTAGATTCGAGTTGGGGGTTGGGATTAGGAAGAGTGGAGGGCCGGGAGAGTGGGGGTAGGAGGGTTACCGGAAATGCAGTTGAAGATAAGGCCTTGAGATGGGCCTTGAAGGAGGCAAGGGAGGGGGTAAAGTGTAAAGTAGCTGTGTACTTCATGGGCAAACACAGTAGCCAATTAAGAGAAAACTTGATGCACATATGAGGGAGAAGAGAATGGAGGGTCAAAGGCTCATATGGAGTATGAACTCCACATGAATATTTGGCACAGACTATTTGGACTGATGGCCTGTTTTCGCACCTTATTGCTCCCATGTCACAGCAATGTCCCACAAACTGCCATGAAGTGAATGAACAATTTTACCTAGGGTCAGGACAGACGGGAGAAACATCCTTCTCTTCTCAAGTAGTGCCATGGGATCTTTAATGTCCATCTGACCAGGCACAAATGGGATTGAAGAGAAGAACTGACCGTCCAGGCTCGAGAGATGAAGGAGGGGCTTTTATTACCACAATATCTAAATCACAAGCACTACAATCACTCCATTCTTTAAGACTGGTTTGACTGCAATTATGCAGTGATGTGATCTACCAACATGTCACATATCCCAACCCATATGTCATTGTCCCTTCATCTCAATACAAATTCTTGAACAAAATAAGCACTCAATCTATGATAATAATGATAATTAATACTTGCAATTGATATAGCGCCTTATCATGTCATTGAGTTGTGTCAAAGCGCTTCACAGAATATACTGTAAAGTGGATTGACCATGTATTTTGTGGGCGAAACACGGCAGCCAATTGCGCTCAGCAGTGTCCCACACACAATCTGGATTGAATAACTAAATTTAAAAGAATAAAATATACAAAATAATAATAATATTGAGCAGGCGGATTTCACAGTTAACCACCCAGTGAACTACTTCAAAGCCAAATCTATTGGCTCGCAGTTGGGGAGAGGGGAAGAGGAAATCAAGGCTTTGCTGACATGGGACCATTCAAACTGTGTTTGTGGTCTGATTAAATAGACAGACCAGTGCTCTGTTTGATGCTCTGAAACTTGAGTCACAGGGATTGGTAGTGAGATGTGCAGATGATTTTTCTTTTGGTCAGCCAGGTGTCTGACACACAGGGAAATGCATCACCGAGCTTAAGAGTAACCAGACCAGACTGAGATTTCCACATACATATGGATATATCTCCTTTGCCTGGTGTAGAGTTCATACCCTCCCTATCCATCTCCGACCCCCTACCCCCTCCCCCCGGGAGAGATTCTGAAGCTGCAGGAGAATGACAAGATTCTCCGTGAGTTTGATACAGCGAGGTTCATTCCTCACATAGCGCTGCAGTACACGAGGGAGAAAGGAGTAGAGGGGTATGGGAGAGGGAATAGGAGTGGTGGGAGCTCGTGTGGAGATGGACTAGTTGAGCCCAATAGCTGTAGATTCTATATAGAGATAATAATGATCCTTGCATCCTTAATAATCTGCGCATTAATACGTTGTTGAGACGTCTCAAAGAGCTTCACAGGATATACTGTTAAGTAGACTGTGCATTTTGTGGGCAAAAGGGATCTATATTATTCTGGAATGTTCTAAGTGCCAATACGCGATGACTGTACTTCACAGTGAATCCTGTAAAGCATTTTGAGACGTTTTCCAATGACGTGATAAGGCACTGTACCAAACACACGTCATGTCATGTCATTCTCTGCCACAAGTGTATCTCTTTGGAAATTTCCCTTCCCCCACCCCCAACCGTTACAGCTGCACAAACAACTTCATTGATTTACCTTTCAACAGAAAAGCACCAGGTTCATGTGAGCAATGTAAAACACACAAACACTCGCTCAACAGGTTTGACAACATTAAAAAGCTCCAGGAATGATTTTTTTGGGTCAGCCAGGCATGTGACACATACGGAGACCCATCACCATGCTTAAGAATATCCAAATAGACTGAGAGTTACACGTGTATGTCACCTAGACATGCAAATTTCCCTGGGTCTGGAATGGATTACCCAATCTCTTCTCCCTCGGTGGGGGATCCACCCTGCTTGCCTAATTTTGGAGATTATTAGAGATAGGGTTGAGGTAGTGTGTGTTGGGGTAACTGCTGGAGTTTAACCAGCTACAAAGGCGTAGTTTACCAGTGAGAGAATTGACTGACAAGCTTCCCATGACCCAACCTACCCATGAGAGCTTTTACTTGCAGACTTAACAGGAGCTGAGTAAGAATCCCAGGCCCCAGTGGGTAAATGAATGAATGAATCCTTGCTGTTAAAGGCTTATCATTGGTCCCATGACTTGAGGGTAGATTAGAACATGTGGAGAGGTTTGTATCCTGCTCTTAAACTGGAGAAGGAAGAGGGAGAGAATAGACGGAGATCACTGTATAGACCATAAAACCAGTTGATAATTATTGACTGCAATCTTGCCATTTCTTAATAGCATTGATGCAATATTTTTTTAAAAACTCAGAAAATGCACAGGGCCTATCTTTATTAATAATAATAACCCTTGCATTTGATACAGTGCCTTTCACATAAGGAGGGAGTTTCAAAGCGCTTCACAGGATTACTGCAAAGAGCAGCAACTGTGTGTTTTGGAAGTAAAATCTTGAGCTGCTGTTTAGCTTCTATTCCCATTAAAAAATCGGACATAAATCGTTTCAGTCTATCTGTCCCTCATCTCTGGAACTCCATCTCGGAGTCTCCCTCACTCGCCCCTTTTCTCACCTCATTCAAGGTTCATCTTGAGACCTTCCTCTTTGTCCATGTCTTCAGTCATCTTCCTGCAGCCCCCTCTCCCCAACCTCCTCGGCTCCCTCTTCTCTCCCACAGCTCGATTGCAAAGCCAAGACTGTCCAGCTCATTGGGACGTCCTCCTGATGTGAATGTCACTGTATAAATGTAAATTTGTATTGTAAAGATTACAGCCATTTAATATTCACCGCTTTTTTTAATCATCGAAATATCAAATGAATGTGAAAGGCCATGTTCCCCTGGGACATGTCCGGCTAAATTCAGTCCAAGCTGATGAATGGAATTAATTGTTTAGTCCTTGATTATCTACAAGGCGATGGGCGATGGGGGAATGATTGGCATCCTAGCTCCCCTTCCAGTTTACAGATGATTCTGTGTTGGCACATGTATCTGACAACAAGCATTAGGCAATTGGTAGCTTAACTTTTCTTTGTTTGTTGGCAGTTCAGCTGTCCTGTAGCAATTCTTTATGCTAAAAGGCAACTCTTTGTCCAATTTTTCTCCAGAGAAAGAGAGAGAGAGAGAGGAAAAATAACAAAATAAAGTCTAAGGCTGATACTGTGGGACCTGTTACCAGGCTGGTATTGTGGGACCTGTTGCCAGGCTGGTATTGTGGGACCTGTTGCCAGGCTGGTATTGTGGGACCTGTTGCCAGGCTGGTATTGTGGGACCCATTGCCAAGCCAATATTGGCAGGCTTGTATTGTAGTACCTGGTGCCATATCTGAACAGAAAATTCAACTTCCCAGGAAGGGAGCATTGCCGCCTACAGGTCACCATCTGTGTCGGCATAAATTAACACAACAGCTTTACTTACACTCATTAAAGTATGTAATGTTTCTACACCTGCCGCTGTGGTGAATGCCGCATTAGGAAACCCTGACATATGCAAATACGACTGCCAGGATGGTGGAAAGTGAACTGGGTGGACTTGGGTCTGCTTTCCTATTCTTCTTTCTTCCTCTTCAACCGTGCCTACAGTCACCACCCTATCCACCCGGATCAATGTTGTGCTCCGCCACTGTCGAGCTCTCTGGGGCGCTACCCTGTATGAGGTAGCTATAAAAATGCAAGTTGTTATTGCTCTTTCGTGTAGCATTTCCTATGTTCCTATGTTATTTCTGTTCTTCCCCTGCAGAACAGTGAGTCGCTGATCAGGCCTTCGGCATTCAAACCCGTCGTCCCCAAGAACTTCCACTCCATGCAGAACCTCTGCCCCCCACAGAGCAATGGGATTACTGACAGTAGGAAAAGCCTGGGCCCCCAGCCCAGCACAAACAGCCCCTTGGCTGGGAGGGACAAAGTGGGACTGGGGCGGACTATAAACCATGGCGGAGGCTTGTCCGATTCCGGACGTAACTCGCTGACCAGTCTCCCCACTTACGGGACAGGGTACAGCCAGCATCTGGGTCCAATGAGCGCGTCCACCAGCCACATCAACCGCATCGGGAACTCCTATGTGGACAGGGGGACGTTGGGCTACAACGGCCTGTCCACCTCGGACAGCGGACGTTCCTCCAGCAAGAGTGTGGCCTCCTTCAACAAACTCAATCACATGAGCGAGGTTCCGCCATTTCACTCGCCGTCCAACGACGACATCATTCAGGACCTGGAGGACCGCCTGTGGGAGAAGGAGCAGGAGGTGACTCAGATGCGGAGGAGCCTGGACAAGAGCGAGGCGGCCATTGTACAGGTCTTCGAGGAGAAGCAGAAGATCTGGGAGAGGGAGATGGAGGACCTGAGGCAGAATTATGCCAACAAGCTTCAGCAGGTCTCCAAGAAGGCCCAGCGTGCCCAGCAGGCCCTCCAGCTCCAGATCTTCAAGCTCCAGCAGGAGAAGAAGAAGTTGCAGGAGGATATGGGGCAGCTGTTGCAGCAAAGAGAGGAGCTGGAGAAGAAGTGCATGGCTTTCAAAAAGGAGCAGGCTGACCTGCTGCCTAGGCTGGAAGAAACCAAGTGGGAGGTGAGCTTCTCACTGGTCCTCACTTTACACCAGCAAAGTGAATTGACTGTATATATTAGTGCTATATCAAATGCAAGAATTATTATTAGAAAGGGTGGAGGGCAGGAAAGTTGGGTAGGAGAGTGACTGAAGGTGCCATGCAAACAAATCCCTCAAATAAAATTGGTCATTCACTCCACAACTATCTGCGCAATCAGGTTGCGCCAGCTCTGTGCAATCGGCTGCCGCGTTTTGCCCTTAAATATACAGTCAATTCACTTTACAGTGCATTCTGTGAAGCGCTTTGAGACATCTCAACAACGTGATCTGATTGTTGGGATATACCGATCCTGAGGATCCGAAATAATGACTCAAAAATCCTTAATAAAGGTATAATGGTTTATTATTCACAAACGGTTTATGAGTATATAGCAAAAGAGGTAAATAGTCATACTACCAGTTTTATGTAGGCTGTAGCCTGATTTCAGTCTTTCGTGTCTGCTTCTCAGGCGCAATCGTTTGCTATACTCACGTTCTCTCTTTCTCTCTGGCTCTGCTTCCACACACCTCTGTCCAGTAGCACCCCAATTATACTGACTTCCCCTCTAACCTTTGCTTCAGCCAGATAAGATTATAGCCTTTAGAATTTTGGTCTTCCTTTGTCCTGTCTAACCTGATCAAAGAGGTTTCACTGGAATAGAGACAGGCTTCAACGTATCTCAGTACTGTCCTTGAGAGTGTAGCTGGCTTACAAGAAAAAGCTTTCAGACACACATCCCATTGTCCTGGTACCAGGCTCATGGTCTGCCCCTTATCTCCAGGTGGCTATTACCTTATACGTCAGGACTAAAGGTTGTGCCAGCTTCTCACAGTGCTTGAAACCAACAACCACAGTATTATTTTAACATTTTAAACCACTGTCTTATTGCTATAAGGTGTTATAATTTCTACATATTCTACTCAATCTAACATGATCCTATATCAAATGCAAGGATTATTTTTATTATTCTCCTGAAATGACAACTGTAGACACTGGGATACCTGTGACCGCTACAATACAGCACAATACAATACAATTTACATTTATACAATGCCTTTCACGTGAGGAGAACATCCAAAAAGAGAACTTCTGGGAAAAGCCATTTTAACATAGTCAGGGGTGGGGTGGGGGGTGGGGGGGGGGTGGTGAGAAGAGAGGATCCCTCTTCACTCCCGTGCCACGGATGTCATCATTGGGTCATCTTCAGGAGCAGAATATCCCAGTCAGTGATAAGCATCACATACTGCACATTGCACCTCAATATTTCCCCTCAATTACTGCTCAAATTCCCTTGTAAATCATCATGCCACGGGTTCAATTTCAGCAGACATTGTGGATAACACATTCCAACAGCCCTTTGTGTTGGATAATTATTATCCCCCCCCCCACCCCGCCACCCCCCCACCCCCCCCCCCCCCCCCCACACACACACATACATTCTTTTCTTCTGCTTACAATCCTCAATTTATGCCTTTTTGTTACCCACTCACCCATTAGTCTTTAATTGTCAAAACCATTCCTCATGTTGAAACCCTCTATTGTTTATGCTGGTCTAGGAGTAGTTTGCTAAGGCATTCAGCCATTGTCTCTCTTGTACTGTAACTCAATAACTTCTGTGTTATCATGAATTGTGCTGGATCATTTCCCGCTTATAGGTTCTGCTTTCATAGCAGTGTCCTGTACCATATGTGGAGTCCTGTACAGTATTGGTTAAAGCACTCGCCTCACAAGTGAGAGGATCCGGGTTTGATTCCCAGGGCGAAACTTTAGACAAGTTTGCTTACTCTAAACTCCTCTGTTTATCTAGCAGTAAGTAGGAATTCGGTTGTTAATCGATTGGTGGATTGCTTTCTGGTGAGTAATAATCCTTTCAAAAAAATAAATTAAATAAATAATAATTATTTGGTCACTCAATCCACGACTGTTTGTGGGACACTGTGCACCATTGTCTGCTGTGTTTTGTCCCCAGTATACATAGTCGATTCACTTGACAGTATATTCTGTGAAGCACTTTGAGACGTCTCAACAATGTAATAAAGTGCAACATCAAATGCAAGGATTATTATTATTATAATCACTAGAACTGTTAGCAAGTCTAGACTCTTCAAAATGGTCAGTCGATTAACGTAAAATCGCTGGTATTCACTCTGTTCATGTTGTTGTAAAAACTGAGGCATGAGCAGAGCAGGACATCTCTCTCTCTCCCCAAAACTGTTAACCCTCTGTCACGTTTGACCTTCGGTATCCCTTTTGACGGGATGTTTAAGCTGAGCTCTGAAATGCTGTTATTCAGACCTGACATCACCATGTGTAAAGGGAAGGGAGTTTCTCCCTGTGTCTTGGCAACAATCCTCCACATAAAATTGATCACTCATTCTATGGCAGATGGGGGGGACCTTGCTGTGCCCAATTTGGCTACTGTGATCGCCTACAAATAGACATTCACTGCACTTGACCGCAACCATCTGTGAACATGATAGACTCTATGTCAAATGCAAGTATCATTACTGCATTCTTATTATATTTGAGCTTACTGTTATTACTTTATATATTTATAATATAATAATAATATAATATTCCCACCCTTTGAAACTCTATCCTCCCTCACTTCGTTCAACGTCCAAATCAATACCTTCCTCGTTGAGTCATCATTCCCCTCTCCCCAGCTCCTACCCCCAGCTTGGGTGTCAAGCCAGGACTGTCAAGCACCTTGGCATGTCCTCCTGACGGGAAAGGCACTGAATAAATGTAAATTATATTATGTTGTATTGTATGCAGCTGTCACTTGTATCCCTGTGTCTGCGATTGTCAGTTCAGAAGAATAATAATGATAATAATCCTTGCATTTGATGTAGTGCCTCATCACATCGTTGAGACGTCTCAAAGTGCTTCACAGGATATACTGCAAAGTGGATTGACGGTATATTTATGGGCGAAAAGCAGCATCCAGGATGCACAGAGCAATGTTCCACAAACAGTCGTGGAGTGAATGACCAATTTTATTTGGGGGATTTGTTGGCCAGGACATCAGGAGAAACTCCCTTCTGTTTTAAAATACTGCTATGGCTTTGCTCCTCCCTACCTCTGTGACCTGCTAATTCGATACCTATCCGTTCCCTCCTCTCGGTGGACTCAGGTCTGCTCCATGTTCCCCGCCTGGCCCACCCCACCCCACCATTGGCAGTTGGGCCTTCAGCCTTTCTGCCCCCAACCTTTGAAACTCCATCCCACAGTCCCTTTGCCTTGTCTCCTCCCTTGCCTCCTTCAAGACCTTCCTCTTTGCCTGCGCCTTCGGTCACCCTCCTTCCCCCACCCTCCCTGACGCACCCCTCCTGATCCCAACCCCTAGATCGGGTGCAAATCCTTGACTGTCAAGCGTCTTGAGGTGTCCTCCCTACTTGAAAGGTGCTATAAAATATAATTTGTGTGAATTGAGTGAAGTCAATTACTCAATTGACGATTCATGACAGAAACTAGTTATTACAACGTATTCTTATTGTACTGTAGTTATTAATACTTAACACAGGTAGCATTGGTTCGGATACGATGATCTTGAATGTGCTAAGAGCGAGCGCTTTTAGGTGTTCTTCCGATATGTGCTTCCATCCATTTTCGGATCTTTAACCGGAACTGGAAGAAGGGGCCTTGGTTTAACATCTTATCCTGAGGGACAGCGTCTCCGACAATACATTTGATGTAGGCAGGAGAACATATAAAATTGGTCACAGGATTTGGTGTGAGGTGCAGTGACTGTGGACCAATGTCAAGGAAATAAAGCAAAGGAACAGAGCTCATTGATGCTTGTGTTGTGTGCTCCCAGGTGTGTCAGAAGGCCGGCGAGATCTCCTTAATGAAACAGCAGCTGAAGGACTCCCAGAATGACGTGGCTCAGAAGCTGAATGAGATGGTGGGGTTGAAGACTCAGCTGAAGGAGGCCACAGCTGCCCTGAGGGACAAGGAGGAGCAGATAGCAGCGCTGAAGGGCTCCTTCAGCAGCAAGGGCGTGGAACTGGAGGTTTGCGAGAACGAACTGCAGAGGAAAGCCAACGAAGCCCAGCTCCTGAGGGAGAAACTGGGCCACAACGAGGTAGAAATCTCGGCGCTCAAGCAGGCTTTGGCCAGCGGTGGTGGTGAAGGGGATGGAGGAGGGGGTGGCGGAGGGGGGGAGCCTGACACGTTTGGGGACGAACCCCCGGAGAAAGCCAGCGAGGCCCCACCGATGTGCGAGAGCGACGAGGCCAAGATGCGGCGTCAGAACGAGGATGCTGTGAAGGTGTTGAAGAGGCAGATCGAGCGGCTGCAGGGAGAGCTGAGGCTGGAGAGGCAGCAGCGGGAACAGCAGATCAGTGGCTTTGAGGAGGAGAGGCAGACATGGCAGGAGGAGAAGGAGCAGGTCATCAAATACCAGAAGCAGCTGCAGTTGAACTATGTAGAGATGTACCAGAAGAACCAAGCGCTGGAGGGCAGGCTGAGCGAGGTGAGCGACCAGGACACCTCCCCCGGCCCCGACGACATCAAACAATGGACACCCTCCCGGCTGGAGCGCATAGAATCCACGGAAATATGAAATATGCTCTCAAAACGACCGTAACACTTTGCACTTAACGTACGGTATATTCACAAAGTCCTGTTACCCCCATGTTTTTTTTTCTCTCTCTCACTCTACATTGCACTGACCCACATCTAAAACATGTGGAAGAATGATGATAATTGTATTTAGAAGCACTTCATTGTATTCAGTACAAGTGTTTAACTGTATTTAGACGTCCAGAGGATGAGCCCCATCAGTTTCATGGCCGATAATGATCCATCACCATGTTCAATGCAAAATCTTCTGTAACATGATGGAGTGAGGAGGAGAAATGCATCTCTGACAGCTTGTTTCAGTTCCTTCATAGTCTCATATCATTGTTTTGCAACGAGTGAGGGCTGGGGGATAAGAGGACTTTGTAGACACCCTGAACAAGTGGGCCCATTTACACAAAGGAGTCTGGGTGGGATTGGGGGTGGGGGGGAGAATATTGTACGCTGATCGTTAAATGTGCCCTTGTTCTGTTGTGACCTTCTAGTCGGAAGTTGCTGTCAGTGGCGATCAGCTTCTGATTGATCCTGGCGTAGCCTCATGTAGTTGGTTCAAGTGAAATATTTAATTGGCTCAAATCCTTATTGAAATTGACCTGTTTCTGTTCGACACCTTTTGTTTCTGATGGAAGGGTGGTGGTGAAGGGTGGAGGCATTGGGGGAGGGGGAAAAATACTATGGGGACGCGGTGAAATTTGCGGCAACTCGTAACGTGTTCCTCATGATCATCAACAATAGTTATCAAAGGCTCTTTACATCAAATCTGTCATGAAAAATTGCGTTCATGCTGTTAATTTTCTAGCTGGATGAGGCAGTAAATCCTCTCCCTCCCTCTTTCCGTACCCACATTTTCATGCTGCCAGTTATGGTTCCTGTTTTCAGTGCAGTCTCGTGAGATTCTGGCTGAACTTACTCTCTGTTCAGTCAATGTTCAGAGCACTGCTGTCGACATCCAGCCAACCTGGATCATTGACAGGACTTGTGGAACCAAGACAATGGAACAAGAGGACATGGGTTTAGAGTCGCAAAGGGGCAATTTCAGGACAGACACCAGGAAGTAATAACCCAGAGAGTAATGAACAACTGGGTCAGGTTTGCAAGGAAAGCTAGTTGAGGCCAGGACGCTGCGATTCATCTTAAAAAAACCTTGATGCTGTGATTAGGGGATGGTAAGCAGGTGTTCTGGAGAAATAAGATCAGATGAGCTGAAGGGCCTTCTTCATCTGAACCGATCGTGTGATCTAGTTAGATATGAGTCTCGTCCCAGTGTTTGAGAGAGTCCCAAAGGCACTAGTTTCCGTGCCCTGGCCATTCACCTATTACTCTGTGGGACGTCACTGGTACAGATTAGGATTAGTTGTCACGTTATCCTATGTATTAATAAGTCACCACACTTCAAAGTGACTCATAGTGTGAAACATTTCAAGCGATGGCGCAAATGTTATTAGTGTAACAGAGAAGGAAACACCAAGAGCAGTTACTCTTGTGACGAGCCTCATTCCTGCTGTTTTCCCACCCAAAAGGAAAGAATTTTTTTTTAGTTGGTCTGTAATGTCTCAATGTTTCCGATGATTCTATCACTGTGATTCCTCACAGCACTGCTGCTGATTCGCTATTAACTGTTGTACAATCCATTTCGCAGAAGAGTTAATCCATTCGTTAGTCACTGGTAGATGTTGGGTGGAGGCTGCGTTGTTAGTTACATGTAAATTGTCGTGTGTGTGCGCCCCACAATGTATGTGAAGGTAGATGTAAATCACTCTGAAGCTACATTGCTAAGGATATTCTCTAGAAGTAGACAATACGTTTGCTGTGTATCTTCTCACTGTGGTGAGAGTCACAGATGTCCATAACAAATGGTGCGAAACCTTTGTGAAATCCTGTGGTTAGCATGCTCGCCTCGCAAGCGAGAGTACCCGGGTTCGATTCCCGGGCAGGGCGGAACCTTAGGCGAGTTTCCTTACTCCACACGCCTCTGTTTACCCAGCAGTAAGTAGGAACCCGGCTGTTAGTCGATTGGTGGATCGCTTTCCGGGGATGATAATCCAGCTTCCCCGCCCCCCCCACCCAAAATACTAATTTAGTCACTCAATCCACGACTGTTTGTGAGACACTGCTGGATGCAATTGTCTCAAAGCGCTACAGAATATATTGTAAAGTGGATTGACTCTGCTGTCTCAGTGACGTGATAAGGCTTTATATCAAATGCAATCATCATTATGGTAACAGCATAATAACATGATAGCCTGAATCTGTGCCCAGGTGGAATTTCTAAACTTTAATGCAGTAACAAGTTGTGAGGCAATGGCCCACACAATAAAAGAGGAAATAAATGAATGTTCTTACTATATGGCAAACACATTTCTGTTTTGCTCTTGGTGCTATCTATATATAATATGTATGCTGAATTCTATTTAGCACTTTAATTCATACCAAAGTTTATTTAGTAAAGTCTCTCGGGAAGTTAAGTGTTTACAGTTCCTCAGCCTTGGTCATTGATGGCCTCTGCCAAAGTCATGTTAGTGACCCAGAGGTCAAAGGGCCTTGTGAGCTGACCAATGCTCCATAATGCACTCTTCCAGAGCTGGCACACTGTAGGACACTGTAGGACACTTTGCTTTGGTCGAGAGAGATATTTGGATATTCATGGCAATGCCAAAACTGGCTTCAGCTATGCCATTGAGAAGGAGCAGGGAAGCGTGGGTGTGGTAGTGGAAGAGATGGATGAGATTGGAAGGGCCAAAAGGTTTTCTTCACCCAAACTAATCTAGTGATTATTACAGACAAGCTAGAGGAGAAATAACGGGGTGAAAAATGCCACAATCAATGTCGTAATTATCACTATTGGCAATATCGATCATATCACAAACTTTTTGCTCTTGGAGGTGTTGCTGTCAATGACTGGCACTTAAATATATATATTTACACACACACATATATATAATATGGTGAACTATTTCTCCCTCTCCTAACTTCTTATAAATAATTATAATATTAATAATCCTTGCATTTAATTGGGTGCAAAACATCTGTGTCAGCTGTCATCAGGTTTGAACCTCCCGCTCACAGATCTCTGCATTTCACGGCTGATTCAGATCATACCGGCCTGGCTCAGTTGGTTGCACTGTTGCCTCTGGGTCAAAAAGGTGTATGTGTGTGTGTTCAAGCCCCACACCAGGAACTTTCAGTTCAGTACGTCCCAGTGCATTGCTGGAGGTGCAATCCTTTGGATGAAACATTAAATCAAGTCTGTCTGTTCAGGTGGATGCTAAAGATCTCATGAAACTATTCGTACAGAGAAGGGAGTTTTCCCCCAGTGTTTCGGCCAATAATCCTCCAAATAAATTGGCCACCTCTTGGCTGCTGTAGGAGCTTGTTAATACATAAATTGACACCGTGAAGCACTGTAAGACATTTCTACATTATAGGGTTTATATCAAATGCAAGGATTATTATATTACTATTATAATGACTTTAATGATTGTCTGGGACACTCCTCGACTCCACCATCGACAGAGTGCTTTCAACCCTCTACCCCAAACATCTAGAACTGCTTGCCTCAACCCCTCCGCGTTGCCCCCTCTTTGCCTGTCTTCAGATCGCACCTGAAAACGTTCCTCTTCAACAATGTCTACAGTCAGCTTTCCTCTCTCACCGGCTCAGCTTCAAAACTATGTCATTATTAAGCACTGCAAGATACTAGCCCACGGGAAGGGTGCTATACGAATGCAACTTGTTGTTGGGACATCGACGGGAGCAGAAAGTCCCAGAAATGATAATTATCACAGGTTTTATGGCATTGAATGCGGGATTAGATTAAATCACCCCAACAACATAGAGCAATAAACATACTATAAGCACGGCAAAAGGTATGAATGCAGAGGCGATGTCTACTTCTACATTAAATCCTCCATGTAAGTTTCACAAAGGTGTTGTGTAGCTGTTACAATTGTGTCCAGAATTGACCGCTGTTATTTTAGTGTCAGGATTGTAGGATGTGTGTTTAGAGATTGCTGCATGAGGGTCAAGTCAGGTTATAGAGGAAGAATTCTGGCAGGAGCTTCCCAGTCCACATCCTGCCAGTGAGGACATTAAATTGATTGAATCCGATCCAGGGGTGAAGGGAGGGGGGTGGGGAAGGAAGAGGTAAAGGGGATGGAAAATGGAAATAAATTTGCTCGTCGACTCCAAATTCACAGCCATTAGTTAAATTCTTCCATTATTATTTAGTGACCAATTTGTATGTGCTGCGGGTTTTCTAACAAAAGGAGTGTTTGGAGCATTGTGTGACAATGTGTTAGATGGCAGAAATCATGGCCGTGGGTTTACAAGTCAGTGGCCACGGTGGCACTGTGCACTGGAGCTCCACCATGTTGGACAACACAACATGAGAACACTGGTTTCCAGCTGGGCCTTTGGATGGTTGAGATACTGAGGTTGGTTGTCCTGGGGATGGGAGTCCTGTAGCTTAGTGGTTAGAGCATACCTCGCAAGCGAGATGACCTGCGTTCGATTCCCAGACAGGGCGAAATCTTAGGCAAGTTTCCTTCCACACGTCTCGGTTTACTTAGCAGTAAGTAGGAACCCAGTTGTTAGTCGATTGGTGGATCACTTTTCCTGGGGTAATAATTTCTTCAAAAGAAAAAAATGTGGTCACTCAATCCATGACTTTTTGTGGGACACTGCTGTGCGCAATTGGCTGCCATGTTTAGCCCACAAAAATACACAATCAATCCACTTTACAGTATATTCTGTGAAGCGCTTTGAGACGTCTCAACAACATGATAAGATGCTATATCAAATGCAATTGTTATTATGATTGAGTTGTTGAGTTAATATCAATGGATGAATTGGAAGTGCCCAGCTATTGGAGACTGGGCACTTTGCCACCAGTGCTGAGCAGGGCCAGAGATGCCATGTGGAGCAGGGAAACCACAAGGGAGGAATTAAATGATAAAAATGATATGATGTACATCTCCATACATTGCCAATAGACCGGACAGCTCGTGTGGTTAAGCACTGAACTTTCTTCTCGAAACTTCTAGGCCGACAGCCAGCCAGTTCTCATTCTGCTCAAAAGCTTCCCACAAGATCACTCATGGAAACTGTGACAATGTGACAGACTGTAGCCCCCAACCATCCCGTCT